TTGCGATTTTTATACTTTAAAAAAAATAGATGGCGCTTTATATAATAGTTTTAATATGTTAAAATTCATTTTTTTTATTGATTAAAAATATTTTAATGTATAATATATCATAAAATTTGATTATATAACTTTGTAAACCTTATTCCCCTGAGATATTCGCAGGATAAAAAATTTTAATAATTTTTTTAATATTTCAATGTAAATTAAAATAATTAAAAAATCGGACTAGCACACGAACAAAAAAGCAGGATTAAAGGGGTGCAGGAAAATTATTAAGGGAAAAATCGAAAATCACATTAATTACCAGGCCTACCCCCAACCCCCTATCCACCCTTTCCCCAGACTAAGTCATACCCATTAAGACCAAGAATGTTATGAAATTGTCATTATCTTACATTATTAAAATAACCAGAGATAAAGAAAATTTCAAAGATTTTGAAAAATTTTTTAAGCAATAAAAATAACAAAATTATAGTTCTGATGAAATAAGCCGACTCATGCCTGGAATAAAAGATTGTGTATCTGTTAAATGCGAGAAAGAATTAGCAAAGATTTATATTAAATAATCTTAAAGAAATATTCAAGATGTTTAAGGAAGAATACCCAAGTATATCAATTGGATTCCCTAAATTTGCCGAACTTAGACCAAAAAACTGAATTTTAGTTGGATGGCACACACACTGTTTGTGTCTGCGCCATTCATCAGAATGTGAAATTAATGACAAATGTAATAGCTGAAATTACAGCAGGAGAAGATTACTGTATAAATTCTTATAACAATCTTTTGGCGCAAATTATTTATAATCCATCTCAGCCAAAATGTTATTTAACAAATTGTGATCAATGCCCTGGTATAGAATCTCTTATGGGCCAATTATACGAATTGTTTCAGAGAAATCGTATAGAATATGTCACGTTTAAACAATGGATCACGGTGGATAGAGCAAATCTTGAAACTATTATAAAGTCCATTGATGGTTTCATCGAATATCTATTATAAAAAGTTCAAATTTTAATGCGTCACTCGTTTATAGCTAAACACAAAGTTTATTTTTGAAGAATTCCAAAAAAAATTTAAAAGATGAGGAATTTTTAACAATTCTAGATTATTCTGAAAATTATTCCTTCATTTTACAAGATGAAGTTCAGGGATTTCATTGGAACAATGTGCAGGCCACTACATCCATTTGTAGCATATTATAAATCTGGAGAAGAATTAAAAAATATAAATTTTGTTATTTTGTCCGAATCATTAAGCCATAATACTAGTGCAGTCCACCTTTATCAAAAAAAATTCATTAAATTCTTAACAGCCAAATTTAATTCTAAACCAGAAAAAAAAATATATTTTTCGGAAAAGCCGCGTCTCAATACAAGAATCGCAAAAATTTTCCCTTCATAAATACGATTTTAATATTCCTACCGAATGGCATTTCTTTGTCACTGCTCACGGCAAAAATGCATGTGACGGTATCGGAGGAACTGTCTAAAGATTAGTTGCCAGAGCTAGTCTTCAAAGGCCAAATAAAAATCAAACCTAACCCCATTAGAATTTATAATTATGCTAAAGAAAATATTAATATTCATTTTGAATATGTATCCAATCAAGAATATATCGAAGAGGAATTAACCCTTCGTAAAAGATTTTCTGCACTGCCCATACATGGGACCCAAAAAATTCACGGGATTATTCCCATTGATCAAAATAAACTAAAAACCAAAATATATTCTAATTCCAAAAAATATATTATAAAACAAGTTCCGTTTTTAAATGAGAAAATTATATTTTAAAATATTAATGAATATATAACATGTGTATATGATGATAAATGGTGGTTAGCAGAGTTGTTAAAGTATCTAGATATAAAAATGTAGTATCTGTATCTAGATAGATTTTTTAGAAAGGTATCTGTATCTAGATATTTTTTTAGAGGTATCTGTATCTGTTTTTAGATACTTTTTAAGATACATTTTATATACCTCTTTTTTAATTATAAATAAAAATATTTGACTGTAAAATTTATTTTATTTCATATAAGCTTATGAAATAAATAAATAAATATATATATATTATATATTAATATTTATTAATACTATAATAAAGAATTATATATACATAAAATATTAAAACTATATATAAATATTCATTAATTTAAATATTATGTGCGAGTTTATCAATAAACCATACAAATTTTAATATTACAATATGAAAATGGTTAAATTAAAAATATTATAATTCTAGGTTTATTGTGACCTTATTTGAAGATGATAATATTATAGCAACCATGCTCCACCCTTTTTTTAAACTTGATTGGACATGGTTGCAAATGGAAGAAAAGCTTAATAAAAGAAAACAATTGATGCAAAGATTAGCTGGTGAATTATCAAAGTCATCAACTGACTGCAAGCAAATAACCTGCCAAAAAAAACAAATAATTTAATTTCAGATTTTTTTAAGTACCCTACAGCATAAATAATTTCTAATAATGATTTAAATTTTGATAATCAACAAATTTTAAATAATTTTTTCAAAAATGAATGTAGAGATTTTAGCATTTTTAAAGAATACCCTGATATAAAATTGTTATTTATTAAATATAACACTACAATTCCTTCAAGCGCCCCTGTGGAAAGACTATTTAGTGTTGCTAAAAATGTCTTTAAAGATAAACGAGGATACCTAAATGATCAAAATTTTGAAAATATTTTATTACTGAAATCTAATAATTATTTATAATTATTTAATCATATATTTTCATATATTATATTAAAATCATTATTTTAGTTATATTCTGATAAATGTTATATCGCGTCAATAAATTTTTTAGCTCATTTGAATTTTCACAATATAATATTAATTTAGGTTTATGCAAACCTATAAGAGCATAATTTAAAAATTGTATCTGTATCTTGATAACTTTTTAGACGATGTATCTGTATCTAGATATCTTTTGAGACTATGTATCTGTAATTGTATCTAGATCCATTTAAAAAGTATCTTTTAACAACTCTGGTGGTTAGGATATATAATCGATAAAAGTTATACAAATGAAGAAGTAAAAATCCGATTTTTACACCCTTGTGGACCTTCAGCCTCATTTAAATTTCCTCTGAAAGATAATATTTTAGTGTTGCCTAAATCTCATATTCTCTCGCTGGTCAATCCTTCTACTCCCACCAGTCGAACATATATATTATCTCCTGAAGAATCTTACAAGCTAGCCATTTGTATTCCTTTAGATGAAGTAAGATTTAATTAATTTATAAACTATCTTAATTAGGCAAAATTTGTGAAGATTTTAAAAATTTATGATCTGAATTACAAATAATATATATAATGCACATTGTAATCGATTTAGTATGATATATATATTAAAATATTTTTAATCAATAAAAAAAATGAATTTTAACATATTAAAACTATTATATATAGCGCCATCTATTTTTTTTAAAGTATAAAAATCGCAATATTTTTTTAAATAAATATCCAGCCATGCTAATTGTTAAAGAAATTATTAAAAAATAGTAAACGGATAATATTTCTTAAAAAAATTAAAAATCGGAGATCATATACATTTCGAAATATTAATTTCAAGTTTTCAACTGACCATAAGATGACACATATTTTAAAAAAAATTATTTTTGATGTTTTCGCCATAATTATCAATTATTAACTTAGCTATTGATATTAAATTCAATATTTGATCATAATTAGTTTTAAATTCAAAAATTAATGGCAGTGTCAAATGTCAAATATTTTTCTAATTTAGATTTTTTAATTACAATTATAAATTTATTTGATTCCTAGGCTGGTTATATATAATTATTTAACATCAGTAAAAAGGAAAAAAAAACGTTTTTTGGACCTTTAACCCCGAATATCTCCGCTAATATAGTTTCTAATGCGCTAAAATTTTGTTTATAATCTAATGGGAACATATATAACCAGCCTACGAATTTTTATCGAAATCGAAAGGGGTCGGCCGAAAAGTGATTGATTTGACATGGAATGACCCTTACATGGACGAATTAACCAAATGTGAAACTGCAGAAATTGCTTCAGAATACGATTATTTTAGGATATTAGCTACCAAACATTCACCAAAAAAATCTGGAATAAAAAGACTACTTAACTAGTCTAGAAAAAGAGTGTTATTGATTAGCCTTATAATTTAGAGATAAAAGAAGTCTTAAATTTTTGTCCTAAACTTCAAGCACACCAAGCAAGTGTGTATTTTTCATAGCTGGGCTCACTCTGAACTTCATATGATAATTATTAAGTCCTATAAATCTAAATAAAAAAATATTTATACATGATAATTCTAACGTAATAAAATAGGTGAATTATAGTTATAATTTAATTCAAAATTTGCTTAATAAAGCATAAATTTAATTTTAAAAGTGTTTCAAATAAATTTATAATTGTAATTAAAAAATCTAAATTAGAAAAATATTTGACATTTGACACTGCCATTAATTTTTGTGACAAGATATAAGGTACACTGCCACCAGTCGATTGTTTTAAAAAAAAGAAACACCACCTATAAAGCTCTTTTTATTGATTGTCAAAACATTTCAAATAAATTACTTGCTAATTCAAAACTAGTAAACCATTTCTTTTTTATTTATATATGTAATATTAATCCTTCCCACCAAATCACAAAGCTTATTGCTCAGCTTAAATGACCTTAGTATATCACATTCAGATGTTAAGCCACTAAAAGCAGGTACATAGCATAAATAAGATTTTTAAGAAGAGTTATTTTACATATTTGGTTGTTTATAAATAATAAAACAGTGAAATTTTAATTTAATGCTTATGTTTTTACTTATAAAAAGAATTTTTAATAAATAAATAGAGTAAGAAAAATTTTAATATTATTATTTTAGAATATGAGTGTTGTTTACAATGTTTGACAAATGTGTCTTTCTAATTTTTTAGAATTTTCATTAAAAAAAATTCTTTCTTTGAATAAAGTTGTGCATATGAGTATATTTACCCTTTTCAATATCATCATCATCCTCATTAACATTATCATTCTTGATAACTGCTTGTTTATCACCTATCTCAATACCATTTGTAATTAGTTTATTTTTTTCTTTTGCAATTTCATTTTCCAATTCTTTAGCTTCTTCCTCGCTTAATTCCTAAGATATTTATAGAAAAATTTAATATACTATAAAAATTACTTTAATTTTTGCCTCATTTTTTGATTTATCAGATTTTTTAAGTTTGTTATCAATAACATTTTCAGATAATTGAGTCTTCTTATACTCCTCAATAGCAATATCTTCCCACTTTTTGAAAGCTGATAAAATGAGTTGCTTTGGTTTATTAATTTTTTCTCCCGATTTTATTGAAGTAATGGATGGAGAGAAAAAATCAGTTTTGCGATATAAAAAGCTAAAAAACACATTTAATAATCCGTCAATTCCATTTTCTTCTGTCTCTGCTATGTGCAATAACAAACCATCGAACTTAGCTTGATTTTCTTTAACTTCCATAAAATATTTTTCGTAATTTTACTAATGATATAAAATATGACAAGTGACGGTTGTCAAATTTTTATTAAAAATAAATTATACGTATATAAATTATAATTACAACCTTCAGAATTATGTTCATGTAGATCTTAAGTTAATTTATATTGTATTGTAATTTTTACAATTAAGAGTTAGGTTAATTTAAGGTTAAACATAATGCAACCAAACTTTAATACGATCGGGCGAGATAATAAAAATATTCCTTTTTTGGGTATTTTTCTTTAACAAAACGAATCCGAAATACTCACTTATATAAAATACGAATAAATTTTTATAATTTTTTTTAGGATAAACTTAAACAACTATTTTTTCCATAATATTTAACTATTTTGATCTGTATGTAGTTAATATTATCTTTAAAAATTAGTTATTAACTAGTATACTAAACTTCATTTTATATTTTAAATCTATGATAAAATATAAACAAATTATGAAAATGATTCCTGTATAATTAATATATATCAATCATATGGTTTATAAAATCCTCACCCATCCTAATAAAGCTTGGAAGGTCTATATTTTTGAATAAAGAGAGATTATGCCTTGGTATTTTCCATGGTCTGACTCAATTGTGTTAAAAGCTTATAGATATCTTTTAAATAGATATTTAGGCTATTATATATCAGAAAAGTTACTCTTGGATCAATTAGATATTAATTTAAGCCTTGGTACTAGTTCAATTAAAGATGTTAATTTAAACTCAGAAGTATTAAAAATGCTTAATTTTATTAAAAACCAATCTTAGAATATTAATAATGTCCTTATGGACAATGCCATACCTTTTGTTTTAATTGATGGATACATAAAAAGTATCAATTTTGCCATCCCATGGTCAACAATTATTTATGAACCATCTGAAATAGAAATAAAAGATTTTGATATATTTATTAAACCTAAATTTTTAAATAGAGGTAACCTAACCATATCAAAATTTAACATTTAATTTACTAATTTTTTAGGATTATTAAACATTTCAAATTCTTTGACGATGTCTGATAGTCTTAGGTTAGTGCAGGAATATTTAGAAAGTGATATTAATTCAAGCGAATTATTGCACCAAAGTAATTTTGAAGGATTAGAACTATTTGCCAAAACATTAGAGTCAAGTATTGATTATTTATTTTTAAATTCTAATTTATTAAATGTATTAGTTTTAACTCGTATAAAATTAAAAATTACGAATCTAAATATTTATTTATGTTATTCATCATGCGATAATGAAATTTTTAATAAACAATATAAAATATCAATATCAAAGTAAAACTAATTAATTAATTTTTGTAAAAGTTAAAAATTTTAGTTTACAATTTTATGATTCCCATATTTTGCAAGTACCACAAAATATAAATACAAAAACAAATGGTCTACATGACATTCAAGACACACCTATTGACCATTTTTATAAAAAAATTATCAAATTTTCACCTGTGGAAATACTTGTGGATAATTTAGCTTGTAATGAGAAAAGAAAAGTATTAATTTTAAAAAAAATTTAATATTATATACTAAGACAAATTTTAAGGACTCAAACTCTACTATGTATCAAGATACTATAAAAAATAAAAACTTTTTGCCTATATTATATTGTCTTTTTGAAAGTCAATTATCATTGACAAGTAAAACAGATGAAAAGAATATTAAAGACCCCAATGTATTTATTTTTATTATAAATTTATTAACTATTATATTTTATTTTCAGTTTGAAATTGATTGTCAAATAAGTCCATTTGTAATGTTGGTAGCACCATCTACTGTGGTTGATATAATCAAAATATTAAGAATGTTTAATAATCCTACAGGTTTACTTAATTATATACATATATATTCTTGATTTGAAAAAAAATTAAATGTAAGCAATTACAATAAGCATATTTTTATTTTTAACCTATAATGCTACTATAATACTAAATTCAATTTTATTAAAATACATTATTTTAGATCTTATCAATGTTCAAAATGAATCCTCTGAAAGAAGCATGATTCCTAATAAAATCAATAATAGTAATTTAATATTTATTATATAAGATTTTTATCACAGACTATTTAAAAACTTTGTTTTTGTTCTTATAGTGGAGATTAAAAATGATGATTATAATTTTATTTTAAATAGCTATATGTTGTATTTTTTGGGACCTATGGCAAGAAGTTGATTTGATAAAGAATTTTGGCAAAATCATGATTTCAACAATTAGGGTTGTTAATTGACTATTAGTAGCCTTTATTTTAAAACAGATGCCAAAAAATCTTATAAGTTTTAATTCTCCAAATTTTGCCCCCCCCCTCCCAGCGCCATTTTTATTTTACAAATTTTAAAGACTGATAATATTCAACTAATTATATTCACTCAAAAAAAATTTTCATTTATTATATTTATACTAGATCACAGAAGTTTAAATGATCAATTTTCTTCAATTACTCTCTCCCCACAAAAAGGTTATTAATAATATTATTTTTTTATATTAAAATAAAACCTTCATAAAGTGACAATTTGAAATCGATTATTTTTTACCTAACCTGAATTAATTGTGAAACCTCAACTAACCATTTTTATTTTCTGAAGTATAGACATTAGTAATTATTTGAACATGGAATCCCAGTCTTTTTATGTATGAAAGGCTGGTGTGTGATGGCTGGCCGTTTTTATCCCAGATGTCGTAGGGCGTCATCTTGAAGGATTGGTTGAAGATTGGGGAATTAATAGGAGAAAAGATTCGATAATATGAAAGTCGATATAGATAAATACCAAATTTACATGGCAAAGTGGCTTATATCCAGGTGAAAGTTGAGAGCTTTATGAAACGATTCCATTGAGTTTTTTATTATAGTTTGATAGATAATCATTTGACCAGGAGATTAAAGAGTTAGGTAAAGCAAGAATCGTTGGTAGAGCTGGCGTTGAAATTTTATGGAAATTGATCAGACTTTAGGGAAGTGGATATATTGGGATTGTGATTGGTTTTTGGGAGTTGGGCATTAGAAATCTCGGGGACCATTAATATTAAATTAGCCTTCTATAGTTATTGTAATTGTTCTGTTGCACAAGGGACAAATTTGAATGGACATATATTATATTATCAATCAAGAAAATTTTAAATTTATTATTGAGTGTCTCACTTTATCATTTGATTTAATTAATTTTAAACACGGGAATTTTTATTGTACTTCAATTTAGACCAGCGGTGAAATTAGAATGGACGACTGTAATTTTATAAGAATAGCCTAGGTTTATAATTAATCCAAATTAATATCATAGAAAAAGACCTTTGAAGTTCTAAGATGTCAGTATGTAATATAGGATGTTTTAAGAAAATTTAATAAATTGATAATGTTTCCTTCATTTGAAAACCATATATATTTTAATATACCAGCTGTAAGATTTAAATAAATACAATTTATAAAAACCGAACTGGTTTACGGGTCGACAGTTATTTATAATGTTTCGGTTCTCCTTTCAAAATATTCTTATAACGGTTCGATTACGGGTCGAAAATTTATATTGGTTTCGAACTTCGGTTCCGTTACAGGATTATAATTTCTGGTAAAAATTCAAACACTGTTATTATCGTTTAAATGAATACATGACTATTAAAAGTAATCTTTATCATATAATACGCTCTATATTTCAGTTAAATTTAGATGTATTTATTTTTAATTTTTTTTATCGTTATTCTCGCTTATTCCACTTGATTGTTTTAGTTTGTGTATTCATGGAAAAAAATCACAATTACATAATTTACCTTTTTTTACTAGGCATAGACTCATCTTTTATGTCTCGATACTCCAATAATCCGCCCCTCTCCTGCGAAGAGCAGTCTTCGACCGACCCATCAATTCTAACCAACAAAAGCAGATCAAAAAGTGAAATGGAGGACCAGGCAAACAATTTAACCTCTTTCAACTTGCTAATACCCGAATTTAAGTGCATATTGCTCTATGAAGATTTTGGTTGTGCCAAATCAGGCCAAGAGATTAACGCGGTTTTGTCTTTGGAAATTGAAACATTTTTTGGCCGCTTGAGAGCTACTTATCATGGTGGCGATATGAATAGTGGGGATAAATTATATAGGGAGGCGATAAATATGGATTTGTTAGCCTTGGGGCGAGATCATTTATGGTGAGTAGAGTCAGCTCGATATTACCGTTAATATGAGTGGTTAGACTTCATTGAAAAAATTAAATAATCAGTTTTCAATAAAATCTGGTAAACGAGAGGATATTCGCAAAATAAAGATTTGATTTGATGTATTACCTTAGAAATTACTCTGATTTGTATGAGAAATATAATCTGTTTATAACCTTACTTAATCCATGAAAAAAAATTTTTTTATTTATTTAGCCGTAATATAATTTTAAAACCTTTGAATTGTTTCAAAATTTGATGTCCTAAGAACCAAAAAATATTTAAAAATTAATTAATACATTCTTTTTTAAAAATTAAATAACAGCCTAGAAACCTCTGGATTACACTTTCACTTTGAGCGTAATCAATTCGCCAATGATACGATCTTATCCCAAATACTGGTTACTGCTCTATCTTTAGAACTAAACGAATCCCTTTACAATCAAGGTTGGGACGCTCAAAATTTTCGCAAAACTGAAGATACAAATGACACAAATTCGCATAAAATTCGTACTTATCCTGTGCTAAAATTATTATCAACCGTGGAAGAGATGAACCCTCATTTAAAAAATGAGGAATGCCTCAGGTTCGATTTTACTCAATTTATTAGTAATTCCGCCAGAAAAGATGCCAAGCAACGACTAGACGACAATCAAGACATAATGAGACCTTTTAAGATCGCTAGATCCAACGGTGGAGTAAACAAAAAAAATTTGGACATAAAAATCAAGGCCATTATATACGAGTGCGATATAACTCTTTACGAACGAGTTCAGATACTATTGTACGTTCTGAAAACGTTCTCTAGCTCGTTGGCAGCTAAGGTATTTATTAGTCAAGGCATGTATACTTAAAAAAAATATTAACCATTTTTGACAGTGTTTTTCTTCGTTTTCGAACAGAAACTCTTATTATGATAACACAAAATATTCAATTTTTACTTTTCATTCAATTTCAAGAACATCATGGATAAAAAAAAGTCAATATTCCTATTTTTACCGTTCTTTCGAATCAAGTCAATTGTAAAATGAATATTTTTTATCTAAATTTAATTTTTATTTTTTTTTGCAGAGAGAATATCTACTTTAATTTAATTGAATAAAAAGACTTGGTACTTCCCAATGTTTTTTAACTATTTAGCTTTGTATTATAGAAAAATATAGCGCAACTTTGTTTTATGAGTATGACCTAATGATTTTAAAGAGAAAGACAATTACAATAAATAATTCTTTTAAACACCTACCTTCAGAATTCATTTCATATTTTATTTAAAATTTACATGAAGAATGCATAATTTTATAAAGCCATCAAAAAAATTTTGATAGTAGGATTTTGATTTTTTAAATTAAAGGGAAAGAAAGGATTATCTAAAATACAAAGAGGGGGAGAGATTTATAGAAAATTAAGTGTTTTTAAGATCTTAAGTAAATTGCGCCATCAAGATTTTTTTTTAGGGATTCCGGGCAATATTTTGATAATAAAAAAAAAAGATTGGCCGTGCCAGGCCATTCTATTTGTTCTTTATTAATTTATATATATCTATACTTTCATGACAAAGGACGATGAATACAATTATCATTGTAATAGGTATAATGTATAAACAAGAGCGATATTCGACAATTGTACAAAATGGCGAACTACGTGGGAATTCACGAGTGTATGTCCCAAAGGGTAATCACGCTTGGTTATTTAATTTCAAAATTTGATAAAATTAATTATAATAACCTTGTGCTGCCTATTTATAGGCATAGGCCATTCTTTCTCCCTTAGGGGGAGGCGTTAGCTCGGGGGCGGGACCCTTAATGTATTTCCGACCACCGGAGTGACTAGAGGGCTGCTATCGCAACCTCTCATTTCCAGCTGGATCTATCGATCCATAATAGACTATCGTATTTAACAACTATTTATTAATAGCGTATAATATGTAATACAAAAACAAGTAATTATAAAGCGATATAATATTTTTATGTATAAATGCTATTGTGGGGGGGCAGGGGGCGTTCCTGTGGGCTAAAATGTCTTCGAGGTGATCGTATCTCCGTCCTGCGTGAGCTTTAGTGTTTCATCGAAAACGGCTGGATCAAATTCTTTGAAAAGCTCCTCCATCCTTGAGATGTTAGGTGCATCGGGTTCTTCCGGGACTTGGATAGGGGTTGAGGCTCTAATCCACGGAAGGGCACGGTCGATTGGGGAGCCCTCCACATCGATGTCATGTAATACGTTGTGAGCCGATTTATCTGGCATCCATTCCCTGCTTGGTTGATCCGCTTGATTGCTTTCCAAAGCGATCCAAGTTAGGTTCCTGGCTAGTTGAACGTATTGATGGAAACGGATGGACAGCATGATTTTGGTCACTAGGATTTCGCAGGCTGGTGAGCGCGATCCCCCTTTTTCACTATCGTGTATGCGATCTGGCTGTCCGTGACGATGGAAGATATCGAATTGTACTTATTGAGACCATATTTGCACCCTACCCATATAGCGAGCAGTTCCTTTTGGTTTATGTGAGAGGAGGCATACTCAGGGATGCCCAGGGAAAGCTTGGCTTCCTCGAAAGTGAAGGATGCCTTCTCCAGTCCTTCTGCTATGCCTTGGTGAGTGTCGGAGGTGTCAACATGAATGATGGCGTTTACCGGGAAGGTGAACGGAAAGGGTTTCATGAGCGCCGCTATGGCTGTTACGGGGAATATGCTCTGATATAATCGATAGGCGAGGTCTCCTCTGTATCCAACATCGTATGGTAGTAGGGTGTGAATACTCTTTATAGCTCGGTAATCGAATATGTATAGTGGTTTAGTATGCCTAAACCTCCAAGGTAATATCCCTTTCGAAAGACATGGCCTGCAGGGTTAGTTTATACAATATAAGCTGACAAACTTTAGTTTTTTCTTATTTTCCGCATCCACCATTGCCGTTTTGCTTAAGTCAATATCAATGTCCATGTATCGAATCTTCCCCGTTGAGATAGTGACGGATTTAGTGTGGTTCACTGTTAATCCCCATAGAGGCGCTACCTTGAAGAAAGCGATGGTGTCTTCGAAGACGATATGTTCGTCTGCGTGGAAGATGATAACGTCATCCAGGTATACTGAGAAATTAGCTTTCTTTACCGCTTTGTTACATATAGAACAATATTCTGCAAGGCATAAGGTGAGAACCCCGCTCCCATGGGTAATGTTTTATATCGATAATGTGTAGTGGACGTAGTAGCGAAACCAAAGAATCTGCGTCGCTGCGCCAGGGGGATTAAGTAAAAGGCTGACTATATGTATATGGAAAATACTAGTAAGCATTATTTATTGGATTTTAAAAAAATTACATGGTTTATTTTAATTATTGTGTTTAAATTTTAGACATAATGTATAAAATAATTTTATAATTCAAATCTCAATATAGTAAGAAATTATTTAATATTCTAAACATAAAACCTAATAAACTTAACATTTAAAATTTTTTTATTATGTTTTTAATTTAGTGATATCTGTTTTTCTTAACGATAAAAAATATAATTAGTTTGTTAAAATAATTAACAATTACAAGTATTATTCATGTTCTCAATATTGGTATTTGAATTCAAATATCTAAAAGAAAACTAGTTTTTCTAAACGATTCCTAAATTTGGATACCCTCCAAATGATGAAAACACTCTACTAAAGCTGTTGTATGTTTTACTCTGATTTTATCTTGAATTAAATGGTCTTACATCATTTAATTTCTTTAATTTTATTTATTATTTCACCTGAATACATAATTAAATGGGTCAGATGCAACTTAGAATTTTACCATAATAGATAAGAGGTGAATGTTAAGATATAAAATTAGCCATCTATTGTCACTTCGGTCTCATTGTTTGTTAAATTTGAAATATATTTCAGGGGTTAGAAGATAGGATAAGAAATGTGTCGGTTATAGTATTATAATAATGTAGATTTTCAGAGGTGGGTTACTAAATCTTTTTTTAAATTTTATCAAATAACCAAACATTTTAAAAATTATTATATGCTTATTTGATTTTTATAATATTTTATTATTAACAATTGATTTATCCTCATAAAAAAGGTTAATTAAAACATTTATCATAATATTAACTCTAATAAAAAAAGGGAGAGTTCTAAAAATGTTTGATTTTTAAGACAAAACAAATGACATAAAACTATATTCAAGATTATTTTAAATTAGGGGTATTAACGAATGAATGAATATTACCATAGCATTATAAATTGGGCAAATGCATCAGGGTACCCAATTGGGAAATAAAATTAACCATTATTTATTAGTCAAAAATATAACACTTTAAATATGGTATAACATTTTTATTTGAGTACATTCATAATAATATTCGTTTTAGAAAATATTGGGCGAATTTCTTTCCGACTCCTGATTTCAACTAGTTATACTATTTTAAACAGTATGCACATTAGTACCTTGCCCAACCCTTATCCAATTTTTTATTAGGTAGCTCATCCCGGTTTTTTTAAATACAAGGCCTAACCCGATATATATAGTTGATTTATAATATTGGTGAGGTTAAATTAAAAACACTACACTATTGATTATCGCTTCTATCAAATATCAGAATTCATCAGTAATTTAGCCCAATAATTTTTTTGGATCCAAATGAATTTTTTTCAGACATTACTTGGCCTGAGCATTGCAGACCTCTAATGAGCATATCATCAAATTTTTGATTGACAGTTCACTTATTATTTGACAAAATATCATATTAGCTCAGAACTTATCAATATATATTTTTTTTCAACAATAAAAAAATATATTATGATGTATAGTATCTCTGATTAAAATATTAGTATTTAATTTTAATTCAAAAAAATTGGTTTATTTTTATTTTTCAAAAAAATACAAATTTTGTTAACCCTAATAGAGAGGTATACAAACTTTCTTTTTATTGAATAATATAGATTTATATTTTTAAAAATGCTTATTTTTAGAATACACTTTGTTCGAAAGAATGGCAAAAAGAGCGGGTGTTGCTTTTTTTTCCTATTATTTTTATCTATGATGTTCGAATTGAAAACGGTATAAAATATAAAAAAAATGTTAATTACATATTTTGTGCTCTTTCTGTTTGAAAACGATGGGAAATTCCCTTATATATAATTATTTTATATCCTAATAAAGAAACACCTTTACGATGACTTTTTACAATGTAACAGTTCTCAAACCTTCGGCCTTTTTAATTCGACTTGTGGTAAATCAAATTCAATGGATATCAAAATGAACTTTTCAAACTTGATCATCAAAATAAGGTGCTTTTTAAATTATAATAAATTGTATTTCATAAATGATAAAAATTTCGTAAATTATTAAATTGTTAGAGCTGGAACACTATTTTTATAGGGAAATAAATTCCTATATTTATCGAATTATTAAAATATTATTAGCAAATATATTTCAGATTATTTAAGAATTTTTATGTTTTTGTTTTTTACACCTTTTTAATCTTGTTTTTATATTTAAAAAAATCGAATTTTTAATTTTAATCTCAAAGATTTTTTTAAATGTACTAATGTAAAATCGTTTCACCTGGAATTCTTTAGTTTCTCAATATGAAAAAAAGAGTCTTGCACGGAGAATAAGTGTAATATAACGATGGTGAATGGTAATAGAATATAGTGAAGGCGATAATATTTTTATAAACTTTATTCATACTCATACATACCTATGCTGGTTCACCCAGAATGCTTGTATAAATATTATTAGAAAAATATGGGTATTTCAATTCGCTAAAAAAATTACAACCATTAGTGCATTAAGAAAAATCATGGAATATCTTATTAATTTTCAAACAAATAAAAAAAATTTATTTATTTAGATTTCCTTATTGTAACAATCGGAAGGGTAAAATTGCTCAGCAAAATTATGTGTCCAATAATAATTTTATATGGTGGAAAAGGCAGCTTAAACCTCAATCGCTCACGCTTCACGCTAAAAATGTAGGCTTGGTCACTGTTTTAACTATAGCTAGGCCTTACAGACCTAATGCACAAAATTTTGACTATAATATTGTTCCTCAAAAGATTGACATAGACTTTTGTGGACTGGACGGTATTATTTCTGCTTTGATTTGATATTTACCTAATTCTGAAAGTCTTCCAATTTATTATTCGTCTTTTATTTTATAAAAAGACTCTTAGATATTAGTAGAATAGATTCTAAATCCATTTTTCATTTTTTTTAGAAATCTTTTTTTAATTTAAAATTTTTTTTTATTGAATGGGAAAAAATTGTAATAGTAGCTATTATACACACTAACATTTCTATTTACATTAAAATCAATTATTTTTTTAATTTCCAACCTAACCTATATTTGCATTATTTATTCATAGTGATTTGTTAATTATTTACTGAGACCGATTTTTTCATTTAAAATCTGATTTGTGTATATGTATACAAGCAGGTGTAGAGTACCTACCCTTCGAATTTAAGACAATTTCATCATTAATTGTTGAATATTTTTTTATATTTTCTATGAAAAATTAATATAAATTAAGTGTAGTTCAAAAGTAAAGTTGAGGGGATTCAGTTATAGATAAAGTCGTCTGAGGGTCATTAAATGATAGGTCGTATGAGTGTCCTCTAACCCTTGTGATCTAGTAAAGTCATGACTAACTAAATATTTTAAGAATCTTTTGGTTAACCAGAATATTTAATAAACCACAAACAAATTTTTATTGACTATTTATGAAATAATAGATGATTTATATATAAAAATTAAACGTATGAAAAATATATGCCTTCGTAAACACAAAAGTTGGTTCCTTTTATAGGGAAAATAAAAGACACAATAAATATAATTTGTTATGGCGCAATCATTAAAAAAGATCACTTTTCAAATGTCTATTTATGCAAGTTCTATCTTATATAATTGGGAATACAACTAAACCCCCCTATACTTCTCGTGATTCTACTTATGGCCCAAGATTCAGGGCGATCTTATGGACCTAAATAGTTTATAATTTATGAAATACCTTGGTAAATAATCAAAAAGTATTAAAAACTCGCGATTAAAAGAAAAAACAAAAAGCCACATGTTTTTTCCTTTTTTCCCTCTAAAAACTGAACAACAGAGGGACATAAAAAACGGGCATACAATAAAATAGAGAAAAATAACCCTAAGGGCAAAAATGTAAATAAAAATAATATTTAACACTAGTCCACAACAAAAGTGTCTGAAATTCACAGTGTGGGTACTCTATAAATGCGAGAATATATTTTCGATCAAATCATACTTTTAAAATTAAAAAATCGCCCTCAGTGAAAAATGTAATTGATAGTCCAAATCCCATTGGATATCTGGAATTGTCGGAATTCCAAATCCCTCAAAAATATTTTTTCCATTTTTTCTTTAAAAAAAATGGTTAGGAGCCATTTCATAAATATATTATTTATTAATATAGATCAAACCGTAAGCTTCATAAAATGTTTAATCTGAGCGAGAAATTGAATTTTTCAGCTGATTAAAAGCTATTATATTTATGAGATTGGAGAATTTACCTCAATCGCAATCATTTATTGTCATTGTTTATTTTTCGCATTAATACTCAATGGAATCATTAAACAATATTATAAATGAATCCTAAAATTTGATCGGTTTTATTAAGATTTACCGATTAGATATTCTTTAAGATCAATATTGGCCTCGATCCACTCTTTTCTTCAAAATATTTATAAATTTCGAATTTTTTTAGGCCCGTAAAGTTTGCCCCGCAGTTTTGGATTTTTGATGGTTTATTTATTGAATAGATCTGTTCCCAATTTATATTATCACCGTTTTTGAGATGTTCAAGAAATAATAGTAGGGGGCCAACTTCAAAACAATTCCACAATATTTAAATTTTCAGATAAAAAGTATTTAAGTCGATAGAGAATGTTTTGTACCGTTTTCAATTCGATTTGTGTGATTACCGTTTTCCAGGTATTAATCATTTAAATTTTGGCGCCAAAAACAAAAAATTCTTAAAATGGGGTTTTTAAAAAAAAAAATTTTTAAAGAAAGCGATAGAGAACCTTTTCTCCTTCCTAATGGTGCTTTAAAATGATTTTTATCTTCATTGGGTATTTATAAAATTAAACTTTGAATTTTTTAATATAGCGTGAACGTGAAATGAGCCCCTCAATTTAACACTTCAAATTTTTTAAAACAGGATTGATTTGTACCAATTAATGAATATCAAATAAATTTATTTGGTTCATTCAACTTTGAGCAATTTAATGTAGAGTATTTTTAAAAGTTTAAAAAGAAATACCCACATCAAAAATTTTTTATAAATAAAAATTTATTTTTTCTAAAATCTTTCCATTTTAGTTCCTTTTCAGTGGTGTTGTTAAACGGCTTAATAGGACATCTATTAACTTAATCTCAAGGTTTGCATTATATTTTTTGGCTAAAATATTGGATTAGCCTTTTTTAATAATCGAGCCTTTTAACAACACTACTCTTCCGTTTATTTTAAATTATGAAATTATTAATCGTTTTCATAAATTTAATGCAAAATATTATTAAAATTTAGAAAATATTTTAATATTAAATTGTAAGATTTTAACTGAGGTTTTTCGCAATTGCTTTGAAAAATTGAAGGTTTAGATTTATATCCATTTAACCTTATATCTCTGTTTCAATTTTGGCAATACCAACCTTTTTATCATAATGACTCGCTTAACATTAATTTACTATTCTCTCTGTTAATATAAAAAAATATTATGAAATGGCTTCAGACTGACCATATAAAAGACCGAATACAACGCAAAGATTCATTATCTTGAATCTTTACGTTAGGATTTCGAATTCCATATGCAAATCCGACATATAATATATATGTACTTATAATGTGATGTTATCTTTGCAGTTAAGTATAATCAAAATGAAGAAAATAAAAACGAGTCAACCTCCATCCTATTATTAACGATAGATTCCCTGAAATCCGACAATATGATTTACAGACCAAAGTAACATTATTCATCACATTTATTACATTATTTTATCATAAATATATTTAAAAAATATTTAAAGGGTTTTATTTTTATAAATATAAAAGTATACACTTCGAAAAGAATAGCGCATGCACCGACACCACTAAATCCGATCTTATGTACTTCAGTGCCTTATCTTCATCGACACCATTATTTCAAAATCAGTCTTCATTTACCGCTTCCTTTGGGGTTAATGCTGACAGATATCGCCTTAAAGGTTCTCATCATAGTTTTTTTTATAAATTAAGCAAATAACTTTATTAATTTTGAGAGTTAAATATTTATGAATTGCTTAGTAAATATTTTTGCATTCAAACTTTTATTGACGTTCTAAGTTAATAATTTGTCTCAAATACTGTAGATAGAAATCCCTGTTTCCCAACCTTATAGGATTTTTCATCATAAGCTTATCATTCTTTAGGTATTTTACACATACTGGAATACATTTAAGGGAGAATCAGATTTTTTTTCAATTTAAATAAATGGTTCAAGTTAGAAGCAACCATTTATTCAGCGCGTATTTTAAATTGAACATATCTGTATTTTGCCGGAAATATTTTTCAATGCGTTTAGAATACCTATTCTAAAAATTTTAAACAATTTAACAACTTTTGACTCATTTTTTATTTATATAAATAAATGCAATCCAAGTATTTCCAATGTTGCCTGTACTAGTGTATAGTCAACACAATTTAAAATGTTTCGTATATCTAAAATAATTATTAATTTTATTAGTCTAAAATAAATTATCTAATCATATAAAAATAATTAGATATGATTAACAATCAATTTAAACTGTTTTCACCCTTTAAAAACATAATTTTTCTCTTAAAGATCATGTGAATCCTTTTGATGACGAATATTTTTACAATTCGCTCCTTTTCAACATGAACATGGATCCATCTTTTGATTCTTATAACAATGACGCTACTTGTAACATAAACGACGAAGGGAAAAATTATAAGGAGGAAAATATCAATACGCCTTCACCCTTTACCAAAAAACGAATAATTTATGAAAATAAACCGGTTTATTTATGAATTTTTTCTATATGTACCCTATAGCCCGTTTATAATATTTTTTTTGCTTTTAAAAATATTAATTTTAGGTTCATCCCTTTACCATGTTTCTCCATTTTGACATCATGCCTTTGAACATTTTTAAAAATTTTGGTTATAATCTAGTTGTATGTTATTTTATTTATTTATGATACTGATAATTAATTCAAGATTGATTTTTAGATGTCTTCCATAAAAATATAATAGATATTAATAATATGATATCGGGATGGGGAGGGGGGGGGTAGAAAGAAAGACTTATTAGTGAGAAAAGATAACTAATTTCTACCACTATTATTATGCATTTTACAATTTAAATGTTTTTTTCCAAAAAATTATTTATTTAAGTTGATTTTACCTGGATCGCAGGAAGAAATGAGGAATTTTATCCGACATCATGTAGCACAGTGCCTATTTTCGATTGATATTTACATACCTACTTTAGAACTTCTCATGCCTTCCAAGAATTTATACGAATTGTTGTACAACAAGTAATATTAGCCTATTTTAAAAAGACTTTATATTTTTTTATATATATATGTTTATTAAATAACCCAAAAACTAGTTACATTTAACATTGAAAAAATTTATAAAATATATGATTCATATGTCATATCAATCGACTCTTATAACTTAAAACTATTTTACTGGCATAATAATCTGAAACCGATTCCATTGCCGTCATTGATGAAATAATTATAATTATATATAAAATTTATTTTGTTCGTTTCAGAATATACAATGACTTGCTATTGTGGATTCCGACTACTCCCTTTTACGATCTCAACAATCAATACTTTAATTGTAACAATAGTCAACATCATCTTGATAGTCAGCAGAACAATATCGATGGAGTCACGGCGAATCAAACCTACGATAATAAAGAGGGAAGTCCTGATTTGATGAGCAATTATACCACTTTTTCGGATATTATCTTTGAGAATTTCGGTCTTAATTCTCATCCTGCCAATTTGACTAGTTTTATTTTAAAGACTTGATTTATTTTTTGATGGACATTGCGTTACTAACACGGAAATTTTTAAGCCTGCTTAAATTTTATTTAGCTGCTCTGAGGGCTGTTTATTTCTTGCGACACTACTGATAAATTTATTTTAAAATTATATTGTCATATATATTATATTATTATTTAATTTTTTAAAGTTGATAATTCTATCGAAGAAATCAATTTGGCCAAACGTAGCCACATACGCGAAAATTCTATATCTAACGACAGTTATAGCGGGAAAACGAATTTCAATCTTTTGCCCCCTATTCTTCGGTCTCATTTTTGTTTGCTAACCCAAATCGATAAGGCTCATATATTGCTCAATTCCTTGGATCATGGAGAACCCGTAAATTTAAAAAAATAAGAGTTATAATATTGTTTTGCCTGTCAAAAATAAGATGTTTTAAATTTTATGGGGCTATGATAATATTTAATCTTTTATTGCTTTACTTAGTTTTTTTTTGCAAATGTTGCTTTTCAGCATCCTTATCTAGGGTTATATTTATATAAGACTCTCATTTCCTTAATAAAAATAATGTTTTATTTTTATGCTTTGACACGAAATAAAATATTAAAAAATTGTTCAAGGTGACCAAAAAAGTGGAAGAAAATCTAGATGATGATGGTGACTTACATTACAAGTTTTATTTCGATATTGAGGATTGTTTCATCTTCACCACGCATTCTCGGATCGATAAACAACATTGTAATCCGCAAGACATACTCGCCAGGATCAAAGATTTAAAAGTCAATTTTTCAAGTTAGTTTTAAAATTTTATTTTGTAAAAAAAAATCAGGTTAAAGTATTTTTGAGATTATTTCTTTTTATTTATTTATAACTGGTACCTCTTATCATATTGTCTAAATCCAGATCTATGCCAGGAAAGTTATGTCAAAAGCGATTTATCCTCTAAACAACCTTTTGATAACCCATTGTTTATTTATCGAAATCCCATACCATCTTTTCAATTATTCGCTCCAAAGAAAGTAGGAAAAGCCATTTCGCATAATGATTCTCAAACTACTCCACTCCTTTGCCACCATACATCACAATCGACTAACCTTTTAGATGATATAAACGATATTAATGACTATAAGTTTTAAAATATACTTCAATTTATAGGAAAGTGATTTTAAATACATTTTATCTGGTCAACTTTATCAAAATTATTTTTATTTACATAAAAAACTAACATTTATATTGTAACGAAGTGGAAGGAGCTAATTTTCACATACTTAATATTTTGATGTTAACTCTAATTTGATCAAAAGTAGAGTTAGAACCCTATAATAATCAATTCATTTAGTACATTTATTCATACATTTAACCTTTCTTGTTATATTAATATGATTATAGGTTTGATACACCTTCGGACGGTCATTCGACGAATGTATACCATTGCGTCGAATTGAATTTGGATGGCGATATTATCGAAGAGCCAGAAATGATGAATCAAACAAAACATCCCGATCTTTTTAAGCTCATGCGACATAGAGCCGTTGTCGACTTGTCCAATAATAAGAACTCTCGTTTTGGTGACGATTGTAAGGGAATGAAAATTGAATCTGACTCAGATAAAATGCGCGAGGAGGATATGTTGGCCCTAGCTTCCAAATCTAGATTCAATCGGGCCCCTGGGATCAAGGTGTTTTATCACCGCCGATTTATATTTGATAAATGTTTCGCAAATTTTTGTTGAATAATTTTTTTTTATTTTATTAAATCTTATTTGATACGGAAAGGAAACCATATTAACAGTTGCCGTTCACAACTCTATCATGAATCACGAAATGTCTCACAAGGGAAGGCATTGGTATAATTGTATTCACGATTTTTTTAGCCTAAATAATTACGCGGATTACAAAATCGCTCCGCTGCATAGGCTCAATCAATTACATTTGCAATTCTTTGATTGCGGCATTGTTTACAGGTTTATATATTTTTTTAAATATAAAGTTATTACTTTGTCCAAACAAGGCGCTATCATAAGTGACATTTTATAAAAAGGGGAAAGAAAAGGGAAAAAAAATGAATTACTCTTATAATATTTTTAAAAACCCCTAATATTTAGACCGATACACATACCCTACAAAGTTTATATAGAATTAGGATCGCTCATTTTTTCGAATAGCGCCCTCGTTATTCTCAAAGCATCTGAACTCAAGTAATGAATATATTATTAAAATGTTTATCTAACTATTTATTTTATATTTAATGCATTTTTTGCATAAAATATATTTAATTCATAATTGAACTCTATAATAATTATGTGACGCCATCTTATTTAGGACGTAGGAATACTCTTATATTATATCACTTTCTTGATAAATAACATAAATATATATTTTACATAGGTTAATAATAGAAGATTCTTCGTTATACATATCCAACAAAATCGACCATGAATTAATTGACTTGATAAATGGTAACATTTTGTTATATTATTTTTCAAAATTTTTTTTTATATTATATTATATTAAATCTTATTGGTTTTTTTTCTTCTTCTTTTTACAGGTGAAATAATTTACTATATTATAAAATAAATGAATGGTAATTTGTAGCGCAGAGTTATAACAGTTAATGGTTTATATAAAATAAACTTAAATATAGATTACATAAAAGTTGCTATGGTTGGCCTCTTCGAGATTACTATCAAGAAAAATAACTTTTGCGCTTCCGGCAATACGCCCAATGATGAGGATTCCAAAACCCAGCCTAAGATCTCTAAAAGCATACTAAAAAAAGTTTTTTTAAATCACAAATTTTTATTATTTATATGTAATGATATTTTTAAATTTTGTTTTCGTTCATCCTTATAAATAAAAATTTAATTTTTAATTTGGCACGTTTGTGATAAAATCTAACGATGCTACTGTTAACCTTATGTTCTCTAACCTTATCCAAACATTTTAATTTAATAAAAGACTTACATTTGTGAAAACTATAAAATAAAAATTATATACACATTATATTAAAGCAACCTTCTCAAAAATCATCTTTGAAAACCGATAGCCCGTTCAACAAAATCAATAAATCCCACAAGGATTATAAAAACAATAAAAATGAATATAGCAATTCATCTTCGCATATCCAACCACCCAATTTCGAAATGAGGGCCATCAATGATAAGCTCATAATATCGACCTGTTATGATAGTTGCATAGCCTTGCAAAAGATTTTGACTTACTACTCCTCTGACGGGGACCTTATAACAAACATTGTTTTTAAATTTAATACATTTTTTTTAAATGTAACTTTCTGAAATTTAAACGTATATTTGTATTCATTTATCTATTATATATGTGATGTTTCTCAATCATATTTTCAAAATGAATTATTAGAGCTTAAGTTCCACCAGTGTGAACCCCGTTATTCCTGAGAACCTCTTTGAATTTAACCATATTGAATGCAACGAAACTTCGACAGCTTTTATGACACCCATGGACAGCAAAAACAATATTAATAACGAATGCAAAAGTATCAAATTTCGAAACCGGCTAAAAGATTGTCATGGTAATTAATTAAATAATTTTTAAATATTATTATGATCTTTTTGTTGTTTCTCTTTCGGTGTGTTATTTTTATATGGAAAATTTATTTAATCATATCAATGAGATAGTTGCAGATTTTATTATTGGTGATGGAGCAATATTTTATAGCTTGATCATCTTTCTCTGCTAACTCCTTAGTTTGTCATATACAACTTGCACGAAAATGGTGATTTAATTCTATCTCTAGATCACAACCGTTTTGTTGTTTTTTGAATCGTTATTTTTTAGTACTTAAGACAGGTTAAAAAACAGAATATTTGGGCGATATAGTTAATTAAACATATTAACATCTAAATTACTAGGAAACCGTAACCCCAATGCTGAAACCAAGCATTCCTTACGTTCTCAAATTACGGATCTTATGGCTGATGCGATGATGGAAGATGACATGCATTCCCCACTTAAACATAATAATTTAACAGAATCGCTATGCAAATACCCCACTAAGATAATCGACTCCTCTAATTCCCACCAAGTTAATGATATGGCTTCTAATACCAATAATCAACCCGTTTTAAATCACTCTTCTTACATCGTAACTTCTGAATACAGCTCTAAAGAACAAAGTTCCCAGCGGCCAAGAACCAAAGATACTATTCGACAAAAAATTTCTCATAATAACAATTTGTATCTACTCAGCGATAGTGTTAAAAGTGACCGAGATCCATGCGATACTGGTGGATGCAATAACTTCCGGACTAAATACAATCACAAAGAGTGCAAAGTTACCCTCAATCATCCTTGCCAAAGACCTTGCGATACCAACAACCGGGGCAGGATTGGACGAAAATTTTTTAATTTAAATATCGAAGATAATTTTGTCATGATCGATAATGAGGAAAGTTTTATGACCGAGGTTGCTTAATTAAGATGTCATAATTTAATATTCATTATTTTTTGGAAATATGGTTAAAATAAGATTACTTAATTTTAATTTTTTTTATAATGTAATAAAATATAGTTCTCATAATATTAACAAGATGACATTTTTTTTAAAGTAAGTTGTCTAAAGTGAAGTTAGAACATTATAAGAATAATAAGGCAACACTTTATTATGTTATAACTCGCTTTTTATTTACACTCATTTTATCATAAAACAAACAAAAAAATATATATACTCAAGCAATTTATATCCAAGCCCGAGATGAAAATTATATCTCATCTTAACTGCCAAGAAATCTCTCCGAATAAGCTTCTAGTCGAAAATTATTTTGTTAAACCGACTTTCTCGAAATTTGATCATTTGAAAACACCCAGCAGCTTTCCCACACCCATAGATAGGTATCTTTTCGGGGATATTTCCGTGAAATGGGAATTGTTTGGCGGAAGGGATTTTGATATGGAAACAAATCTTTCGTCAGACGATATTTCTACTAAAGGTTTTTTTAAATAAATTATCTAGGAGAAAAGAGCAGTATCACTTAAAATTAATATATAGTTGAGCCCTACACCTTGAACGGACCTGTCAAAATTTGACTTCACCCAGCTGGATCAGACAAGGACATTTTATTTAGACTCGATCGTACCGCATTTTGATTTAAACCTTTTAATTTAAAGCCAGACTTTTAGACTTCGGCTAAAAAATATTATTTTTTTTTTCCTACGTGCTTTTTTTTCTTAGAATACTTATGATTTAATCCTATTAAATTTTCGAATATCAAGTTGATATAAACATCCCTCAAAACTTTGTCAACTACAAATCTTCCCTGTCATCTCCACGTCATTTTAGAACATCTTCAACCTTATCTTCTTCGCCAAAGATGGTTTCCAAAAAATGTAGGAACAAAAATGTGCTGATGGAGATTCACTTAAATAAGGTTAAATTATAATAAAAAAAATTATTGCTTTAAAAATGTTACCTGGTTCATCACGTTACACCATCGTGGGGCATTTAGAGGCCTCCCTAGAAAATTTTCTGGCCATCTAAATAACATTTTGCAAAATTGTTTTTTTTATGTTTTATGCCCTGAGGAGTGATATAATATTTAAAAAGTAATATTTTAATTGTGCTTAATATTACCTAATTCACTCATTTATTACCATTTTTTATTTCTTAATCTCATTTTATAAATGACGATGGTATTTTAACGTTTGAGACAAAAATAACAGAAGAAAATAATATGATTGGTATACTCAATATTTGTTTTCCCCCAATTCCTCGCCCGCTAAAGTACTAGCTACGGTGTCATGCTAGAATTTTCTTATTAATGTTTAGATATATTTTTTTATAAATGTATTTTTATCTTATAATCAAAAGTGCTTTAGAATACTAAAATTAAATATTTTGAATATTGGAAATTTAGATACGATTTCAATACGAAAAATTTCCTCCTCACGCCACGCAAGTTAGTCGGCAAGTTTTATCTATTCAAGAATTTCAAATTTTGGACAAATTAACATCGTCTCATTACAACAAATTTTTGTATCTCTACGTGTCCGATATCTATCCCAAAAAATCAAACGCCCCAATGGTAATATTTTAGTGTAGATGAGTATAATAAATGACCAATAAGCTGATAAATATTGCTTCTTTTTTATAAAATTTTAAAATATCTTATAATTTTGAAAAATAAATCGAATCGAACAGTTATTAATCAAAGCCCTCCATACGAAACCAGAAATTAATTTGCCCACGCAACAAGAATGCATTTTAAAAGTGTCCCTTCAACCCATTCGTTTAAATATGGATCAAGTTTTAAACTATCATTTTTTTTAAACTAATATAAAGAAAATCTCTAAAAATAATATACATATACGTATGGCGATATTTGTATTGTAGGATGATATATCAAAATTTATTTATCATAGTTCATAAACTTTGTTATAGTTTACATCGAGATCAGGAGGAGGAGGGGGGGGGGGGTAAAAGGTACTAAGCACTCCCGAAAATATAAATTGACACTTTAAAAAAAAAAATTTTGAGCACTTTCTCATCCTTTTCTTCAAGTAAAAAAAAAGATAGCTCCTCTCATATATTGTATTTTAAATAACTTATAGTGATTTTTTTATATCAAATTCTCTATGATTTCTAATCAAAATATAGTTCAATCTTATAATATTCATAATATTCCCTGTCGAAGAGTATAATATAAATAATATCTCGAGACATTTAAATTAAATAATATTATACATTTTATAAAAAAATAGGAAGCCTTGATATTTTTAAAGGACTTTTTCCAGCTGGTGACCGCTCCTTTATATCCTCAAGATACCGAAGAATTCCGTAATAAATGAATATTTATTTAATCATTAAAAAATACAGTGAGAAATCAAACGCTTATAAAATGAATCACAGGAAATTTTTTAAACAATATAACACATGAATTTTTCTTTTAGAAACCTGTTCAGGTTTTTTGAAGTTTTAAAATTTGTTGCCTATAAACTTCACCTTATTTATTTTTTAATTTAGCAATAAATTCAAGTAATTCCTGCTCAACACCCCCCATAATGAAAGTTAATTCCGTCGAAAATTTAGAAGGGCTCTTTAGCAACATTAACGAAGTTTCCAACTTAAACGAATTAAATAATCGTTTAGAAGGCCTGGAAGGGGAATTATCTAGTAAGGCGACCTCTCCCATATTTTTCAGGTAATTTTTTATTCGCAAAATTTAAAATTCTATCTTACGATTTTAATATTTGTGCTATGATAATTTTTAATATAGTAATTACCAATTTTTTAGAAGAATACTATATTTTAAAAATTTTTGGAAAACATAAATAATTTATAATATAAATACGTTCTGTAAATTATAATTCATTAATCAATAAAGACCGTTTATATTTTCACCTGATGTCCCTATCAAAATTGATTACAGAGGGAAATTTATTGACTTAGGACAAGTAAGTTCATATCTACTTAGTACCTTTTTTAAATTAAATCGTTTACAGGGCACATTCATAGGATTATTGATGGCATTAGCTCAATTAAATTGTTCTGAAATTAAGTTGAAAAAATTATACAACTCTTCTGGGTATATTATTTATTTTTTTTAAATGATACATTGTTTAATTTTTTTTATTTTTATACAAATATAGAATTTTGAGCATTGAAAAGTTATTAAACTATATCATTAAAGAATGGCTGACTGATATTAAAAATAACCAATTAAAAGGGATTTTAAGCGGTATAGGTCCAATGCATTCCTTTGTCCAATTAGGTTTGATTACAATACAAAACTATCAATTTATGAATGAAATTTTATTTTCTCAAAGTTAATATAGTAGTATGTGATTTAAATTTATAGGTATAGGTATATTATTTGAATCTGTATATTATCATATTTGTATTTTATTAATGCATTCTTTGTCCAATTAGGTTTAATTACAATACAAAACTATCAATTTATGGATGAAATTTTATTTTAGTAATATGTAATTTAAATTATAGGTATATTATTAGAATCTGTATATATTATCATATTTGTATTTTATTATATCATAGCATAAATATTTTCCAATTTTTTTATTAGCTCAAGGAGTCAAAGATTTGGTGTACCTTCCTATCCAGCAATACAGGAAAGATAGGAGGATAATCAAAGGATTAAAAAGAGGAGCTTCATCTTTCACGTCTCTCTCCGCCATCTCCACTATAGAATTATCATACAAATTTGTAGAGTTTTTGAAAGTATTACTTCATTATTAAATGATGATTATCGTGCAGGAATATAGTTTTTTGCCGTATAATTTTTAAATGATAATGAAAATCTTTAGTTTTTTATAATATAATAATTGGTTGTTCTGAATTTGCTGAGATGTAAGAATCAGTTTATTTAGGATGGTGTAAAATTTAGTTGCTGAAATAATTGAGAAAAGGGTGTTTCATTTTATGTATTAAGAATAAATTCTGCTATTTTTTGTATAATGAATATTGATGAATTAACTAAATGCTGAATTCGTGTTAATAATTGTGATCTAAAATAGTTTTCTGTATTTTATTCATTAGCGAATAATGGGACTTAAGAAGTAATCAATAATCATAGGCGCATAAGTAGTAATCCAAAATAAACGAAATAAGTATAATACATGATATCATTCATATAATGCACAATACTTAATCTCTGAAGTTTAACAAAAATGTTCTTTATATATCTATTTAAAAAAATAATAATCAATTATTAAGTTACGCAAGACAAAAGATAAAATGTTCTTCGTTTAAAATTGAATTTAACTTAAGTGATAAAATAATAAAGAAATGTAAATTGTAAAGATAAAATAAAACGATGATATAAGATGATTTTTTAAGTTAACCGTTAGGTATAAAATAAATATCTTTGAAATAAAACCAAAACTTATATCTAACATTCCACCCTCCAAAGCCCGCCTAGGTTCTCCTTTAAAAAAATGTTCTTCGTTTAATATTGAATTTAACTTGAGTAATAAAATAATAAAAAAATGTAAATTGTAACGATTAAACTAATTTTTTAAGTTATTAAACAAAAATATTTTTTGTTATTGCCGTTAGTTATAAAATAAATATCTTTGAAATAAAACGAAAACTTATATCTAACACTTTAAATAATTTTGAGAGCTGTGTTTCTTAATATATTTTATATGAGTAAAAGAGGCCAGAAAATTAAAATTATTTCCATTATACTTCAATTAAAATATTCTCATTTTGGCTTTGATTATTCTTAATAACTTAATCTCAATTTCAATCACTAATATTAATTCTTTTCTTCTTTCCGCATTAATATTCGTGCTATTAAAACCGGTGCTGGTAAATCATACTGAAAAATTATTTTTAGTGTTTAAATAAAAGGAATTTACATTTAGGCCAAACCTGGACTAGACTAGGGGGATAAGAATAGATATGGACCGGCCTGATATTGTCCACTGTTTTGCTCCATGCTAAATTTCACAATTTTTAAATTCGTAATAGAAATTTTTTTTTATTAGATTAGTGTTTAGATTTTTTTTTAAATTGGTTTGTCTATTTTGCCTAAAATATTTTTTTAGAATGGAGCTATCTACCGTTCTAGTTGCCAATAGAAGTCTTCATAACCGTTTTGTATTTTCCGAAATAAACCACATTCAATCCTCTATTCTATGATCGTTTCTTATGTTTAAATATTTTTATTTTAATAATAAAATGGCTAGAAAATAATCACAAGCATTTTAGTGCCTAACTTTCAGAAGTAAAACCAGATTTAATTCTCCCAATTACATTTAAATTAATTAAAATAGGAAACATATATGAATATATTATTAATTGAATATGTGATAAAGCATATAATAAATATTATTTAAACATATAATATATTTGTTGTACTGGGACATTCGAGTCCAGCCATCGGGGAGGGAGAGAGATCGACGAAGTTCTAGGGTCCGGGATTGTCGATAAAGAGGACAGGGGGATCGGTCTTGGCTGGCATTTTAGTCATAGAATCAAAACGGGAATTTTACCATAACGAATTTTTATTTTGCTCAATAGGTAATCAAAAAAAATATCAATATAATATTAATTTAATCCACAATAAAAATAGCCAAGAAACAAAACGACGTTAAATTATAGATCCTAATTCATTTTTCGGGGGTCCTTATATAGTCCAAATATTTTACAATCAATCAACAATAAGAAAAATCGACATATTGTTATAATATTAAGTTTATGTAATCGCCATTCTCCAAAACTGGCTAGAACCAGTTTTGACGATATCAAAACAAGCTCGGTATAAGCGAATATCGTACAAACAAAGAAAATATAAAATGTAGTACCATTAAAAAAACACATCACTTATAAACGAATATTGTGCAAACAAAAGAAAATATAAATTATAAAACAATTAAAAACACAACAAATGATATGTAAAAAAGTATAACACTTAAATAATAATTAAATTTTTATTGGCACTCTCTTAAGACCGCTGCCGAAACAACCTACATTATGTTATCACCCGAAAACGAAAGAAATTCCTTGGTCAGCTATTCTAATTACTCCTCTAGGTTCGAAGGATCGAATGAAATTTATTTTAGACCCTCCAAAAATTTAATGCTCGATATCAGACCCCTGGATATACGGGACGGCGTGTCTTCGGCTTATCATCTGGTTAAAGAGGTTTTAAATTAAACTTTTCTAAAATAATTATAGTAACCCTCTTTTGAATGTAAATATTTTTCTACATCAATAATCTAATCATTATATGAACATTTTTTCATATATTCATTCCATCAGGGTTTTAGTCAGACCGCCCTAGATATGATAAAACGAGCCGCCCTTCAACACGAGATAGACGGATTGACTGGTGTGGCCGGTAGTTTAATAAGGGACATACCCAGGGGTATAATGAGACCTGCCCTAGCAACCGCTAAAGCAACTTCCACATTACTAGACGGCGTTAAGCATTCTTTCGTGCCCCAGGCTAGAAAGGATAGCTTAGACAAATGGAAAAAATACCCACATTTCATATCTCTATGAACCAATGAATAAAATATACCATAACATTTTATAAATAGATTCATTCTTTGGGTCTTATTGAAAATTTTTTACTCTTTGGTGTTTTATTAATAATAATTTTGCGCAAATTTATGTTTGATGAATAAGAATTTTAATAATTTAATATTGTGATTTTTAAATAACTATTTAAACGAAATTTTATTATAGAAAAAATCTTTTCTTTACTTTTTTTCAAACAAATATATATATAAAAAAATGGCCAAAATTTTTTCTACCCAAAATTTTTATGAAATTCCAAATTTTTTGCATTCACTGCTTTTGAGTATTTTCATAATGTAATAAGCCCCTTTGTCATCTATTTTTTTAAATTGTGATGTATTAAATTACTTTGAAAATTATTATACTTATGCATATTCATTTTTGGATTTTTAAATTATTATACATATTTATTTTTTTGAAGTATTAATATAGAATTTTATACAACCCCTCTCAATTATTCCAGTGTAATATATTATTCAAACCTCTTATATTATTTATAACGATCTATCCAAAGGATCAAACAATTATTTCTTTTAATTTAATATTTTTTTTTGCCTTATGAATTTACATTTTTGTAAACATTGTTTGTCATTATAATTGCACATTTTTTTTCTTCTTTTCGCTAAAACAATAAAGTGGCGTCGCGGGGGAGAGAGCAAGAGCTTGCTCCACTCATCTAAAATGAATGCATTTTTTTTGAGCACACTTATAAATAAATTTAGCATCCTCTGTGTTTGTAAACTATCGACGTCAATTGAAACAATTTATTAAATAGTTATAAATATCCTATGATTTATTTATTTTCATTTTTTTTAAATACAATATGCAAAAAATTTTTATCTAAATACACATTAATATTTTATTTTATCTAAAGAAATATGCTATTCAGTTTTACAATATTTATCCGAATAAATATTTTAAAATCAGATTATTCTTCTTTAACGTTTATTGGCGCATATCCGGGTAAGCCGTTCTTAGTTTTTGGGGATTATTAAATATACATTTTTTTACATGTTAGAGAGAAGAGACTGAACTTTTTAACCTTCTGAAATTTGGAAAAAGTTTGCCAGAGTACAACCAACCCAAGTTCAATCGGATTGGATTCGGATTTGACTGTGCAAGGTTCTAGCGTAAATTTATAAAATAACTTTATCATCCTGTGCATAATGTTCCATGTTTAAAAAAACGACGAAATATATTTTTATAATTCTTTTTTACCCTATGGTCATTATTTTATGGAGTCCACCTATGTTGATATATTGTAAGAAAACTGCTTTTGGCATAATATAGTTACAATTTTTCTCATCGATTAGTCACTTCTTTATACTAAATAATATTGACGAAATATTATAATTTCCTTTAGGCTCATTGTATTATTTTATATTAGCAGTGATCAGATCATTGGGCTCATATACTAATTACCGATCAAATTTTATTAAATCTTTTTTTTTATTCATTGATACCAGGGTTAGGTAGTAAGCTAATACCTATATTTAAAATACTAAATACAGATACTTTTTTATATTTAGCATTTATTTAAATATTTTAGAAAGTATTTATAGTTTAAAAAAAATAATAAATATTTGATATTTATTACGATTCTAGACAAATACAATTTTTTATTTTTCAAAATTGAATTCTATAGTGTAAATCCACATATATTTATTTAAGTATTAAATTTGTGACCCGAATTATCGAAAAAATTAACATCTTCCTATTAAGTAAGTATTACTGAAAATGAAGATACAACTTTTTTTGTAGATACGAAAGGTATAGGAAATGAAGAAATATATTAAGCGATTTCATTTATAAGATATTTTTCAGAGATTCTGCGGCAACTTCAACATCCTCTAAATGTAATTTGACAATTTAGTATGGGAATCAATAATATATTGAAAGCTAAATGCAACTAATAAAAAAATCTATATTTACAATTATTATATCATTTATATGATATGCTACTGCTGAAACAATAAATATACTATTTTGTTTTACTAAGATAAAATATAATTGGAACATTTTTGATATGATAACAATTTATATAATATTGATAGTGGTACATAAAAATCGACTTGCAAAAAGTATTCATCAAGTTAATATTTATGCAGAAGGTTTCAAAGTTTTGTATTTAAATACTTAATGAAATTTTTGGTTGGTATTTAGTATTATATTTAAAATACATTTATTTGAAATATATTTGTAACAATTTTCAAATGCTTTTTTTGGAAGGGTATTTGTATTTATATTCGAATCCGTTTTTTTTGAAAATTTGACTAACCATTACTCACTATCTGGCTTAACCTTAACCCTAACTTATTCTAAAGTTGAGTATATAAAAAAACTCGTTCCGACGAGAATTGAACCACGGACTTGTTAAATTTCATTCTCTCTAACCCTCTTAACTATTGCGATTCATTCTTTTAAATAAGTATCAATACAAATCAGTTGGTGACTCGCCATTTTACTTAACCTTATAAATAATTTACGTTAAAATTTTATGAAAACTTTAAAAAAAAATTTAGAGTTTCAATTATTTATGAAAGTCTTTATATGAGAAGCCAAAATGGCGTATCATCAGCTGATTTAAATAAAATGAAACTTCAAAATGCTTTTTAATGAATGAGTTGTCAGTCGTAGTTTAAATGTAATTGAGATGAATAAAATGCGACAGAAATAATATGTAAAAATAGTGGTTTAAATTATATAAAGCCTTTTTTTCGACAAATCAGGACTAAAAAAATATTTTTTTTGATATAAAAATGAAGCCATTGCATCTACCTGCATGACCAAAATATATTCGTCCGGTTAACATTTTTTTCTGAATATAGTAGAAATTAATTTGTGATTCCTTCATACAAGCTGGACCCGGACAGGATTAGAACCTAAGCAAATTTTCATTTCTAGGAGAAAAAATTCTAATTTTCCTGGGGCTTTTATAATTTTCGAATGTTATCGAACCTCCTTATTTTTAAATTCGATCAGGTCAATTTGTAAAAATAACAGTTCCGGACATATACTGGTAAGAAATAGGATAAAAGGGCAGCAAGATGATAAGCTCGTATGGTATGAAGAAGACATTTTCTGACTGTTAAAATTTACATATTATAAGTTCTATCTCTTTATAAATAGAAATTAAATATTATTCCATCTTTCTATCTAAAATAAACAAACAAACTGATTACATGAATGCCTTGATTATTTTTATATTTCCCATTAATTAAACTAAATATTTGCTTCTATCAAATATATTATTTTGATATCGCTGTCTAACATTATTTTTATTCTCTTTTATATGTTTATGTTAATTTCATTATATTATCTGGATGAAGTTTAAAGTACTTTAAAATGGGACTTAAGCAATAAAATTAGCATTTTTTCAGAACGGAGCACATGCTCACTTGACCATGCCGTGGGCACAACAAGTATTACACAAATGTATACCGTATAGAATTAATTCAACAGTCTATTAAAGTGTCTTGATTTATTGTTTTACATAATCATATTAAGATTAATATTATTTATATATAGAAAAACCTAATATCCTGGCAAAATTAAATTAATTTATATCCGCGTAAAGACACTGCTTTAGAACTTTATGATTAAAATGACAAATTTTCATCATAATAATAAATTGGTAAATTTAATCATAATAAAAATCGTTATTTTAATTTAATTGCTAAAAAATCTAACACTTCCTTAATACATTTTCTTGAATATTACAGATGACGCCTATTGCTTTAGATGTCGGGAAAAAAAATTTCACTTACAATTCAAACAAAATTATAATTATATAATAAAAAAATATTTTAAAAAAATTAGATTAAAATTTTAAAATCGCATGATTATTTTTGAATTAGAAATTTAAATATAAAATTAAAAAGGCCGTAAAATTAATTAAATGACACATGAATATTCAAATTATAAGATATAGTACAATTTGTCCAAATTTTGTTGACATTAACCTTGGAGCTGAAAATTATTCAAAAGAAATACAACTTTTTTTTTGTTTTGAAAAAAATAATAAAAATTGTTATTTTGTTTTATCATTTAAAAGAAGGTAACATTATTATATAATTAAAATGTGTTATATATATACAATTGGCTATTCATTGAATAAACATTACTATATATATATACCTCTAATATACTAAATATAATGGAAGATTACGCACCTGTACCTAATAAAAGTCAACATGTGAGGCTCAGTATTAAAAATGAAGACGGGCTCAAAAACGTTTGCGAACAAGAAAATAATTTGTTTAATAATTGCAAAGAGAATCACCTAGTAGACAATCATTTCTTGTCTGACGCCTTGTCGAATCCGCTAAAACGTAACCCTACACTAACGTCAAAAATAAATTGTCAATATATAAACGACAATAGTAATTCGTTGAAACAATTCTCTAAACTTATCAACACCAACAGAAATGTCAACAAAGCTTTAAACTTCAAGCAAGAGTTATTTATATTGAGCGATAATATTGGGTATGATAATAAAATCGGACTCAATCACTATAAATATGAAAAGAACAATTTTTTAAATGAATCGACCATAAGTAATTTCAAAATTTTTTACATGTCTTTTTTTAAAAAATATATTTTTTTATTATTATTACAGTGAGTATGAATTGCTTGGATTATAAATCAACAACCAAAACCCAATTAGAAGATTATGATGACAAACAAGCAAATAACATTATAAGTGTTTACAATATAACTCAGAGTAAACAGAGGAAGCGTACTCATTACACTCAGGAACAATTGAGTAATTTGGAAGAGTTATTTCAGAAAAATCATTATCCAAATTCGGAGGAGAAAAAAAAGTTATCGTATCGTATTGATATTGAGGAAGCTAAAATTCATGTAAAATAATATTTCTTTGAAAATAATTCTCAAAAAAAATAACTCCTTTTTTAAAAAAAAATAGGTTTGGTTCCAGAACAGAAGATCAAGGGAAAATAAAATGAAGAGATTCATCAGCAAAAAACCTAAATTAACAACGATTCATTCTGGTACATAGTATAATATTAACCATATAAAAAAATCTTATTTTTTTAAAGATTCTAATCTGAATGCCTTGAGTTCTCAAGAAAAGGGTCAACAAGCTTTGTTTGAATCGCATCATGCAAGGTGTCAAGAAAAGAGAAGCAACTTCTCCACGTCTAATATTAAAGAACATTTGTATCGTGATAATAATTTTGACTCGAAATCTTCTGACGAACTTCAAAATTTTAAGGAATACAAGAACGAGAATCTCAGTAGAATATACGGGTCATTATGGTCCAACATGCTAGGAACGTTGCCACCTCAAACGACTCACTACACTTATCAAATGAGTGGCTTCAAATCCTCCAACATTAATATCAAACCCTATCCATCTCTCATCAATAACAACATCTATAGCGAGCATAATTATAAAACCCTAAATCAGCAGCCCTTTAACAAGTCAGAGACTTGCAAAATAGACACTGAAAATTTTTCTTCGAATGTCAATAACAAATATGATAATACCCAAGATCACAACACACTCTGGTATTTTTCTAAGGCAACGGATGATAGTAGCAATATAGACAGCGGGGTGGGATCCGAAATGCTTTATGATTTTAACAATGATAACACCTGCTATGCTTCTTCTTGCAAAAATAACAATGGCGCAGAAAAAGATCTGGTTGATGACTTATCCACGCCTAACGTTTTCTCTTTACAAATGCCGGCATTGAAAATGAAACAAACCATCAATATCAGGTTACCTTCACCGCCATTACTTCCATTCGGTTCTGAAACTCCGTTGACAATTAACTCCGAAGAATCTATGAACAATTTATACTATACAAATGAAGGAAAATCTCCATCATCAAATTGTTATGATAATCTTGATACTATTTCCACCTTTCGACCTACCTTTTATACATCTTCCCCGAGTTATCATATAAATCGAGCAAGAATCGACTCATTCTCTAGCCTCAACGATATATTACAAAATCCATTGTTCGGAGTGGACTCAAAAAATACAAATCACGAAGATTTCGAGATATCTGACATTTTGCAAGAATCATTTTTCGATTCGCCATTTTTTGTGTTAGGTGATGATCCTCTGTGCAGGGGATATCAATCAACCGATTTTGATTAATTTTATTTTTTGGCTTGGTAAAGTTTTACCAAAAAAAATAGTCACTTTTATTTTCAAACCAGGGTAATTTAAATCCTATCGATCTCTTTTATATAAATAATCTGTGATAATTTATTTTAAAAAAAATTAATAGTGAATTCGAATTTGGTCATGCATTTATTTTATGACCCTATTCCCATTACTCCTAATTGTTATATCTTAAAATAATCATGTTCTTTGGTGAATGTTATATTCTTTTTATTATTAACCACCAAAATAAATTTTGTTACCATATAATTAATATCGCAAGTGGAGGGGCCCTGATGATTAGAGACTCTTACAAGGAGGGGGGGGAGGGGGTTTGATATAAACTTAATTAGAAAATTTATATATTTGATTTTAATTATCTGCCCGCCCATATATTTCAAAAATTTGTTTAGTTCTCTCGCCTAATATTTAAAAATTATTTTATTGGTTGGTTTAAACTCACTATTTGTTTTATTTTAATAAATTTCTTTGCCCAAAAATATTTTCAATTAAAAACCCACCCGTTGGTTTAAAAATATTTTAACTTTCCCTATGCAGACCTCTCAGTTTACAACTTGATAAATTTATATTTTTCGGCTAAACTTAAAATTTTAATATTTTTTTAGTTCAGTCATTTTAAATTTAAAAAATAAGGAATCGCCTATTTGTGAAGATGATAAAATAAAATATTGACGAAATAAGACTTTAATATTTCTTTTTAGGTATAAAAATAAATATCACATTTAATTATTTTATAAAAAAATTAATATATTTATATTTAATAAGCAATAATATTGAATGTTTATAATATATTTCTTTGAAGCTTCATTTATTTATTCTTATCAGTTAAAAATTACATAAAAAGAAAAGATATATTATACAATTATTGTTAATGTTTCCAAAAAGGAACTATAAAAATTTATGTTAATTTTGCGTAATATTAAAAAAATTTATTGGCCTCGTAAGCTGCTCATTTTATTGCCTTGGGTTTTTAAAAAATTTAAAGTAATGGACCAAAAGTGGCTCTTTTTTAAGTGATATTATCCCTTTTTAATCATATCAAGGCAATAACTAATTTTTCGCATTGAAGAGGCACATTTTAAAAAAAGAATTATGTTATTTTGATCATATTCTTTCTATTATCTTTTTCTCCTAATAATACTAGTTATTTTTTAATAGAGTTTGGAAAAGAAAACGCAATACAACTGCAAAATTTTTGTGGAGGTATGAAATTGCTACCCCCATGCCCTTCCTTTGTTACGGCCCTAAACTATAGACTCAGTATTTATTTTTAATTTCATTAATTGAGGAATTGGTGGCTGGCTAAGGTGAAATAGAATAGGTGGTAGTGATCTGCATCAGGCCTTATTTTTCAAGTCCAGCCCGGCTCGGATTTTTTTTAAAATTTGTTTTGCCCGGCTCGATCCCGAACAAATTTTTTTTTATTTGTCCTAAAAAGCCTGACCCGAAATATAAATAATTATTTATCCGCCTGGCCCGGCCAGGATTTATTTAAATATAAAAAAAAATTATTTTAATATATATTGAAAAAATATTAGCGCCTTGTTTATTACAAGAATTTTAAAATATATGAATTTATTTGATAAAACGTAATGATATCATATTTAAAATTTTAAACCCGACCCAGCCAGGCCCGAAATCTTTAAAAAATATTAGGTCAGACCCAGCCCGAATTTTTAAAAATAGACACGGCCCGACCCGAAGGTCTTGATTTCAGATCTCTAATAGGTAGTTACTTAATTTTATCCTGACATTGATCCTCTAGTTGATATAAGTGTATGAGAGAGAATACTTTCAATTAACACCAGCACATAATTAATAACTTTGGCGCAATACGAAAAGTGTCACCAATTTCATATTTTTTGAGGATCAAATTTAATTATGAAGGCCATGTAATGTAGGTCATCAGAGGTAGATATTATGCAGATTTTATAAAACAAAATTACGTTAAAATTTTTAAAAATCAAAACATATTTATCCACATATGCATATCACGATTTGCATGTTAAAATTTATGAATATTAATTTTTGCAATGTACGAAGATCGTTAGGTTGCAGTTGGCGTAAATGTTTGATGTATCATTATTGGCTAGGAAATTGTCAATGGCCCATATGTGCGTTACCAAAGGTGAGGGGGGGGGGGAATGGGAACCTCTCCCCCTTAGCAATTTCTTGCTCTCGTAAATATCATTTTAAGCTAATAAAAATTTCCCCTCCACCCCCTTCTCCCCAAAAAAATGTATACGATATATTAATACAAGGAAGAATTTGAAAGAAAAATTAGTAAAATTAATAATCTTTTAAAATAACGACTATAATCAAAATTTTTAGAAAAAGTTATATAATAGGGATAGGCAAATTTGAATATATTGCCGTTCATTTTATTTTTTTTTAAAAATGAAAACCCAAAATTATTTTTATAAATATCTAATATAGCCAAAATCCTATTATAGGTGGAAGATACAATAAAATATATAGGGAAAAAATTTACCTAATAGTACCCACCCCCCTTGGCAAAATCCTGGATATGCCTACGCGGTTCCATAATTATAACTTTTATGTGCCGGGCATTACAAATTACAATCATCTGTATGAATAGTTAGTCATTCAATGTGAATAGATTTTATTTGCTTAAACAAATAAGAAATAACCCATGCTTTAAATTATTAACAACTTTTGCCTTTTTTTAATATACTTTTAAAATGGTAAGTAGAAATCATTAAAAATATATTTATAACTATAAGTCGATACTATTATGTTGTCTATATCATTAAACCGAACTATCAGAAAATGTTGATTTTTTCTGTTCCGGTGGTCTTCGGGGTCTCTGTTCCTGCGTTATTAATTTTGCAATTTTATAATTTTACAAAAAATATTTGTTATATGTTTTTATTTTTTTTACAAAATCTTCCACTTTGCCTAAACTAAATTATGATATTTTTAATTTTCCTAAATAAATATATTATGTAAATCTTTACAATTAATTTTAATTTACCTCATCCAAGTTCGATATATTGGGAAGCGAAAAACGAAAAATATCATCGGTTCCTGTATAAGTTTCAGGAAGAAAGGTAATTGAAGTAGGTTGCGAAATTTGGAAAGGAGATGAATCTGTCTTAGGTGACCCAGGAATTTCTTTCTCCCCAATAACTTTCAATCTTTCTCCTTCTCGGATGGTTTCCATAAGTTTTTGAGTTGCTGCGTCGGGTCTATGAGTTTCCTGCTTACCGCTCACCAAAGACACAGTTTCTACTGAACTTATTTTATTGAGGGTTTGGTTAGAAGAGGGTTTGCTCTTAAACCCAGAAATACCGTAAGATTTGGGAAACAAAGCTGAGCCTATTTTTTTGACTAAGCTGTTTTTGCGAGTCGTCATTCCTCCCCTGTAGGAATCGATGGACATCAATGATCCTGTAACAGAATTTCTCTCCTTACCCCTAATAGGTAGAGGTTTGGTCATCAGCCTCTTTAAGAGGGGTTGTTTGGTCTCCTCGCCTAAGCTAGTACCAAGAATATAATTCTCGAGATCTACTATATTTTCTTCCTGTATTTTTTCTAGTGGTAGAAAATGTGAATCTTCAGGAACAATTTTGACGTCCACAGCCGAACCTTTGGGTCCCTCTTTCTCTGATTGAGCAGATGCGGTAGTGTAAGGTAATTTGACCTCTTTTAGATCCCAGAAAGAATCTTTCAGTAATTCAGGATGCTCATTGTACATTTCATCTACTAAAACATACCCAATCTATATTTTCATTAATGTAATAAGTTTTTGCAAGATTAGTTATAATACACTGTAGGTTTATAAATATCAAATAATTTATATATATTACAATAGCCGGATAAGCCTAACCATTACCATTATCATAAAACAATGTATAAATTAAATTCACTCTAGTTAGATTATATTGATGCATTGTGATTTTATTTTAATATCGATGTTAAAAGTGGCAATATAAAATTGATTTCTAATTTTAATTTGATTAAAACACCTCATTTAATCTAAAGTAAAAGATACAGCACATTATTAGGTTAATTATACCCTAAGATGCCTATCAATCAGATAATTAATTTCAAAATCATCATCATCTTCTCCAAACGGATTGAAAATTGTAGCAGCTATTTTGATCCAGCCCATGTAAAAAAGAAATTGAAATAAGAAAAATATAGTGGAGAGCCAGCTAAATTCAGAATCTATTGATCCCTTAGCTATTTTTTTCAAATCAATATCAACAAATTGCTTGCCCATAAGATTCGTCAAAAAATACGAATATACTGAGATTATTACGACTTGCGTGTAGATTAAAGGAATGCAAACCCAATCGTAGTCGAATGTTCTCCTACAGTTCTCGTTGAACGAACTGATCTCTTCAATTAGTTTACACAAAGCAAACTCGTCTTTAATTCTTCCTTCCTTTTTACATATCGAAATGAGAGTATTGCACCAAGCCAAAGGGATCCACCATTTAGGGTAAATACACTTGACATTTTCATAGGCTTCTTTTTCGACTAAAGACAAAACCCCGCTATCCACCAAATGATTGAGGGTAGGAAATCTTTTCTTAGCAGGTGTCGATATCTGCCTCATTAGTAAAATGTATGATATGTTCACGTAACGTATAATTGTTCTTCTAAGAAGCCTCCCCCTTTCATCTAGTCCTAGAATGAAAGATGAAATACTAAATCCTAATGTGTCGGGCCATGGTAGAGAATCGTAACGATCCCAAAATCTATTCACGACGATAGTAATGTAAAAACCTAAAATAAAAGCTAATGGAATTCCGTCGGCAATTTTTTGACACGTAAAAACAGCTGTTTGAAACATTCGTCTTTTTTCTGGATCATTCTTAAATTTATACCTATACCCAATTATAAACATACTATACATATAAATAATATTATGATTTACCTATATGTCATGTTTATGGTTAAATACATGCAAATAAATATCACGAATTCTTTCCATAAAATTTTAT